CAATCTGTAAAAGGGGTATAATACTCAACTGTTTTTTAGCTCTATGGATGATGAGCGCTGTATAAGAGCCATCTGTTAGTATTAGAGTATGGCCTTGATTTGGAAGAAAAGTGGTTTTGATTTGCCAAAGTTATGGGCACTGGACAAATCATGTATGACGTATACAGGGGAGAGATGTTCCTTAGCCATTTAGCTTGTGTACATGGCCGCGTTTTGGTCTCTGATCTGGGACAGAACTTGACAACCTTAAACACCCTTAACTTCAAAATTACAGCAGTGACTTTTCATTCCTCATACTTGTCTTGATGTTCAGCTCTTGATTATGTCTTAAAAGACAAGGTCATTTTTTGGTTCCCTCGCTTCTCTCAGTAGTTTTGAGCATATGACAGTCAATGAAGGGTGGTATCTTTCTCCTCCATGGTAACTTAATCTTTTCTTCGTGGACATGCTGTCCTAAGAAGGACCTACTGCTCGTGTTAGCTTCCTTTCAGATGGGGTAGTGATCACTGCTTAGAGATTCATAGATAACAGACACTAATGCTTTTTTGTTAATTTTGCTTTTTTCTTAAATCCTCTTGTCTCTTTTCCTACTTTAAAAAACAAACCCTTAGAAAGTTCCATACAAATGAGCCACATTCAGAGAGCAATCAAGTTGCACAATGCAGCATTCAAAAAGCCAGGAAATAGGGAAGTTAACATAAGGATCAACACGCAACTTTAGCTCTTCCTGTGTGCATGCAGGGTCACACTGCCTGCTTTAATGAGGTACTGACCGAGTGACGTGAGGCCTCACCATCCGCTCCAGGAGGCATTTCTCTGTCTGTAATGTGATTACACTTGATCATCACTTGGACCAGTCCCAAAGTTTCAGGCGCCAATAGGAAGAACCCTGTTGATCTGGGTGACTATTGGAATAGCCACTTCTGCATAACGAGACGTTTAAAACTAGGCAGGTAAAGCATGTCTGTAATCTGAAAGGTTGGGTAACGGAGCCCAGCCGAGGTAAGCACAGAAGCATGCGACCCTGCAAAGAAACTCCAAAGAGGAGAACTTCCTTTCCCAGCCCCGTCAAGCAGCAGCCAGTCTGTCGTGCTAGGGGGTCTACAAGTTCGCTTTTGCCCCACAAAATGCTAAAATTTAAATCAACTTTCAATTCCTGTAACATTCCCCCCATGACTTAACCTCACATGTCCTTTTTTCTGTGTGCAGCTTGTCATATAACGTGTACACACACATCTCCAGGAGGCCTCTTCGATTGTGTAACCTGAACAAGACAGTACTTCCACCTCCCACATCACACTAGAGGCTGTCATGCTGTCTGGAGGGGCTCATGACTCTGAGTGCCTACCACAGGACAGAGTGTTAAAAACAGGGCAGACACCCCAAACTAGTGGTGTGTTCTGGAATTAGATTTCACCAAGCCAGTACCCAATGTGATTTCCTGGATTACCACAACCGTCTTACCATGGAGTCACAGACAGTCCCCTTAGACTCTCCTGTCTAGCTTGTCACCCAGACAAACTGGACTTAGTGATAAATGGTCACTTACCCAAAAAAACACACCAGGTTCAGGTTGCTTCCAGTCCCAAGAGGCCAGTCACTTATCCCCAGATCAGTTGGTGCCCTGGATCTTACACCAAAGACAAGGCCTGTAGCCAATCCTGTAATAAACTACCTAAAGGTTTATTAACTAGGAAAAAGGAATACGAGAGTTATTTTCAGGTTAAAACAAGCAAACATACACAAACCAACGAGTTCCCATCTAAATCCGAAGAGTGACAGACTTGTAGCGATCTGTCAATTCAAAGTGTCTTTCAGGGCAGACCCACAAGTCAGACCTGGAGATCTTTGGTTTCAGGTTAGAGCCTCTGACCCTTTAGAGTTTAAACAGCCAAAACGATGGAAAATTTCCCTGTGGCTTTGTTTTTATTTTCTTCATTCAGCTTCCAAGCCGACAGAAGGAGCTTCCTTGCAGGTAGCGTTTCCCAGGTGCGATAGGGCCGTTAACCAAGCCTTCGTGTGGTGAGGATTCTTTATGGGCCGTTTGATATCAATAGCCCTTCTGGGTGGGCAGGGTGATGATTCCGGTGCCTGAGTTCACAAGTTCAGGGCAAACATTTTTTAAAGTTATCAACCAAAACGTACGTGTTTTCTTATAGCCTGGAATCCAGACATTACAAGAGAGATCAACGCAGGCAGCAATTGACAAGTATTTCACAGAGTCTAAACACTGAATACATTCTTAGGAGACTAATACCTGCTTTGAGCAAAACGAACATACAGGTGACCTATGCTGGTCTCCAGCTACGAGGTTGTTTGTTCTTAGCGCAGTGGTTCTTAACCTGGGGTGCACGCACCCCCTGGGGGTGCGAGATCCCCTTTCTGGGGGTGCGAGACATGCCAGATTTTTTTAGAAGGTAAATCATCGAAAACACAAATTAAACAAATTAAGTGTGTAATTTTTCATGTATTCTTAATTTTACTGCGAAATTAGAATTATACACCTCTACCTCGATATAACGTGACCCGATATAACACGAATTCGGATATAACTCAGTAAAGCAGCGCTCCGGGGGGGCAGGGCTGCGCACTCCGGCGGATCAAAGCAAGTTCAATATAACGCGGTTTCACCTATAACGCGGTAGGATATTTTTTGGCTCCCGAGGACAGCGTTGTATCGAGGTAGAGGTGTATGTTTATTTTCTCTCTTTCATTCTATAGTTATGATATATGTAGGTTTAAAGAACTGACCTACTTCACCGATTTTGGATAAGGGGTGCGAGAACATAGATTTTGAGAACCAAAGGGGGGCAGGCTGCAGTAAAGGTTAAGAATGCCTGCAGCCTGGGCAAGAGCTGGCATCCGGCCTGCCAGCATCACAGAGTCAGTTTCAGGTATCCTCTCAAGCCAGTATTCAGACTCTGTTTGCTCTGCACTCAGGCCCCGGTGGTGCTGGCAGCCTGGGAATCCAGTGCAGACACGGTCCAAATAGGTGAAAGTAGAAGATTGCAGCCACCAACATTTAAGCCTCATGCAGTGGGGGCAGTATGGCCTGGTGGCTAGGGCACTGTACTACTGAGACTCGAGGCCTGGGGTCTATCCCTGGCTCTGCCACCGGCCTGCTGGCTGATTGTGGGTCAAGTTCTGTGCCTCAGTTTCTCCATCTGTAAAATGGAGGTAACGATACTGACCTCTTTGTAAAGCGCTTTGGGATCTACAGATGAGAAAAGCTAAGAAAAGCTAGGGATAATTATCTATACAAAGCAAATTGCCATGCAGAAGCCCGTTATAGTTTGAGCAGCCAGTGTGGTTGGGAGCAAATGGTAATGGAACTCATAAAGCATGCCCGTGCCCAGCTAGGCTGTGTCAGCTCTGGTCTTTCCCACTTGGGGCAGCTCCTGGGGGAGCCCTGGTGTAGCAGGCTGGGAGTCTAGCACTGTTCACCTGCTCGGAGCAGAGTTGGACCACATGGTGGTGAAAGCACTGGCAGCTAGTCCACACTAGTGCTTCCATCCTCCGTGCTACCACTAGTGCCCTAAGGCACCCGGGGCCAGACTTTGACCTCATTCTGGTTTAACGCCATTGATTGCAATGGAATTATTGCAATATTCGATCAGCATGAGACCAGCATCAGGTCCATGGGCTGCAGTGCGCCCAAGGATGGTCTTGTGGTTAAGATGCTAGCCAGGGACTGCAGAGTTCTAGGTTCAATTCCTGGCTCTATTACACACTTGCTGTGTAACCCGGGAAGCAGTTCCTCCGAGAGGAGACTTGGGGGTGGATGCTGAGCTGGACATGAGCTTCCCAGTGCGACGCTGTGGCCAAAAGAGCTAATGTAATCCTTGGATGCGAGAACAGGACTCTCGAGTGCGAGTAGAGGGGTATTTTACCTCTGTATTTGGCTCTGGTGTGACTGCTGCTCGAACACTGTGTCCAGAACTGGTGCCCACAAGTCAGGAAGGATGTTGATAAACTGGAGAGGGTTCAGAGAAGAGCCGCGAGAAAGATTAAAGGATTAGAAAACCTGCCTTACAGTGCTAGACTCAAGGAGCTCCATCTATTTAGCTTAACAAAGAGAAGGTTCAGGGTGACTTGATCATGGTCTATAAGTACCAGCACAAGGAACAAATATTTGATAATGGGCTTTTCAGTTTAGCAAACGTATAACAAGATCCCATGGCTGGAAGCTTCTGTGCCGACTCCGTGGGTGCTCCAGCCCTGGAGCACCCATGGAAAAAAGTTAGTGGGTGCTTTGCACCCACCAGCAGCCAGCTCCCCTTCCTCCATCCTCCCAGCACCTCCCACCCACCACGGTCAGCTGTGCCGCAGAATGCAGGAGGTGCTGGGAGGGAGCGGGAGGAGTGGGGATGAGGTGTGCTCGGGGGAGAGAGCAGAACTGGGTGGGAAGAGGCGGGGCAGGGATGCGGGGGTGGGAAGAGGCAGAGCAGGGGCAGGAAGAGATGGGGTGGAGGTGGGGCCTTGGGAGAAGGGGTGGAGTGGGGGCGGGGCGTGGGGCTGAGCAGGGGTTGAACACTCCCGGGGAAAGGAGGAAGCCGGCGCCTGTGGTTGGAAGGTGAATCTAACCAAACCCAGACTGGAAATAAGGTGTATATTTTTAACCGTTCAGGTAATTAGTCATTGGACGTTTGTGTAAAAGATCTGCTCCGTTCATCCAGGACTGAACTCAGAGCAGTCCCCAGGCCGGTGTGATGCAGGTCAGACTGGCCTTAGAATCTCTCAGCCTGGGCTCTGCCCATCAGCCAAACCTTGTCATACCTGCCTAGCCTGTACCTTCCCCTTTGTATAATGGCCCCTCGCGGTTAGGTTTGGGGCGACAGAGGGAAGCCCTCTTCTTTTAGGCAACCAGGTGCCGTTTCTTCCTGGGGGCAGGGACTGGGGAGTCCAGGTTCTATTCCCGTGGCAGGAAGCGCATCGGCCACGGCACCGGGTACTATCTCTTGATCTGCGCTGTTTGCTCAGTCTGACTCTTCCATTGCCAGGTGTCATGTCTGTGCGGCTCAGCTCCCTGCCTCTTGTGTGGCTGCTGCCCCTCCACAAGGAACTCGACCATCTCCCGCCTCATCTTCACCTTCTTCCTGTTCCTGGGCACGCTGGTCTCCATTATCATGATCATACCTGGGGTGGAAGAACAGCTACACAAGGTAAGCAGCATTTCCCAACATCCTGTCCCACCCCACTGACGTGGGACCTCTGAGCAAAGGCAGAAGCCAGGAGTGAACTGAGGTTGGGGGGGCTGGTGTCAGAAAACGTAACGGGGAAAGAGGATTTAAATATTGAAGCCCTCTGACACTGAAGAAAGGAAAAATGATGTTAATACTTAGCACTCAGTGTTTCCTTCCCACCGCCCATAGAGCCTAATGTGCTTTATAAAGACAGGGTGTTATTAACTCGTCTTTCAAATGGGGAAACTGAGGCACGGTGAGACAACGTGACCTATCACCCAGTTCTAACAACTCGCTGTCCATTGGGCCATGCTGCCTCAGTCCCGTCCTGGCATTGTAACTGGCTGAGTAACCAACGGGTCATGAAGACTGAATTAATAGATTGTCTAAATTATGTTCAGTTAATTTGCCCTGTGTTATGCAGCTCTTAGAATGTCACCCTGTAATTCCTGCGTGGAAGCCAATCGCTTGTGGTTAAATGAGGGGATGTATTTCAGGATCACAGCCAGTCTTCAGATGCCGTGGGAAGATTTACCCTTGCTGTTAAAAATGTGCATCTTAACTCACCCTCCCGCCACCGCTAGAAGTGGTCACTCCATATTAAGGCTGAGGCTCATTGGTGGGAGATGATACCCCCACTGCCAGAACTGTCCCTGTCTTGTGGGCTGCACCCTCTAGGGCTGCCGGGCTACACCCTCGCCAGCAGCACGTTGACTAAGTGTTTTCCCCAAAGAGGAACAGTTACGTTTCTGGTGAGAACTTTGTCCCTACAAAGGGACATTGTGAAGCCAGTCAGATTCTGGCTACCAGCCCCCTTTGCCTAAACTTGTAGAGAATTAAAGACCCCTGGCCCTGCAAATAACTCTGCCTCTGCACAGAGCCCGTAAAGGGTTTGCCAGCACAGAGCTGCTAGCAAGACTGGGACCTATTTCCCCTGACAATCCCAGTTAAAAAGGAAAAGCAATTACCTAGCATGGTGGAGTGCCTAGGGTACTGGACTGGGATATGGGAGGAAAGAGTTCATAGAATATCAGGTTGGAAGGGACCTTATCTAGTCCAACCCCCTGCTCAAAGCAGGACCAATCCCCAACTAAATCCCTAAATGTCCCCCTCAAGGATTGAACTCACAACCTTGGGTTTAGCAGACCAGTGCTCAAACCACTGAGCTATCCCTCCCCCCATTTTATTCCTGTTTCTGCTGTTGGCCTGCTATGTGACCTTGCCCAAGTCACTTCCCCTCCCATCCCTTTGTTTTGCCTATTAGCTCAAGGGATGGATTGACTCTTATTTTGGGTTTGTCCACATGGGGAGTTATTCCAGAATAGCTGTTCCTGATTAATTCAGTTCCAGAATTAGAATGCCTTATTCCAAATCAGCTGAATGCACTTATTTTTTGGAAGTTGGTTAAGCTAATTTGGAGGCACTCATTCTGGAATAAGAGCATCCACACATGCAGTTGTTCTGGAATCATTAATCCACTTCAGATTCACACCTTACTTTATTCTGGGTTAATTTTCATGTGTAGACAAGACCTCTGTATAAATTCAGTGCCTAGCACAGTGGCCCTGATCTTGGTGGAGTCTCTAGGCACTGCTCTGAGAGGATGTTCTGAGGTGCTCACAGAACCGTTTTCTCCCCGTCTCTCCTTGTACCAGCTTCCTGGCTTTTGTGAAGGAGGCAGTTCAAGTCTAGGCATCCAAGGTCGTGTCAACTGCAAGTCCTTCCTGGGTCATAAGTCTGTGTACCGCATGTGCTTTGCAACGGCTGCTTTCTTCTTCCTCTTCGCCTTGATCATGATCTGTGTGAGGAGCAGTAAGGACCCAAGAGCAGCAATTCAGAATGGGTGAGGCTACTGTGACTTCTCGCCTCGCTGATGTTAACAGGAAGCACTTCACTTAAGTCACAATTATTTTAAAATGTCCTTGGAATGTTACAAACGGAGCCACTGATTGTTCGCAATGAAGTAATTCAGAAAAATCTTGTCCGCTTTATATTGCGGATGCTTTTTCATCTCCCTGGTGGGAATCTGCTGGTCAGTTTTTAAGGCCAGAAAAAGATCATCTGGTCTGACCTCCTGTCTAATGCAGACCACAGAACCTCACCAAGGATTTCCTGCAATGAAGGCAATTAGGATTCACTCCCTTTGTAGGGAAGGATATTGAGTCCAATAACTAGGCAGCGCCCTGGTTTTGCTTTCTGTTTCTCATGCTCTAGCCCAATTGCATTGTTTAGTTTGCAGACCCTGCAGGGGAACTGGTGCAAAGGTAAATCTCGTAATGGTAGGTATGTAACATTTTCTCTCAAAATAAACAAAACACTTTAAATTTTGGCCCTGAACTCCCTGCAGCTCTCACGGTCGAAGCAGACATTACTGCAGGGTAATAGCCTCCCGCTGCTAGATAAATACTGCAGTTCTTGCTCATTGAAAGCAGGCGTCACTGATCTATGACTGCTCTGTGCCATAAAATGCTGACTGGAGCTTTAATTATTTTCCCTGGTGAATGCTGGTGCAAGAAAGGAACAGTTCTTCTGTCTAGCATTATTTAATAGCTGTATTCTGATTGGCTGCTGCATGTAAACATTCTGTTTTCCAAGCCAATCACAGAGCAGCTTATGTACAAAAGCAGATTTTTTGTGTTTTTAAAGGTAACTATTTTCCTGACCAGCGAGAAGTGTGACTTATTTTTGACTGGAAACAGGGCAGGAAGCCAACACCGGCCATAGATTCTGTGCACTATAAATAGCATGAGTCAACTGCACTCCTGTTCTCTGGTTCAACGCCAAGTAGCATTAAAGAGCGTCAGTGGGCGTAGGACTCGGCCCAGATGGGGCTCACCAGTTTGCTTCCCTTCCCCGGTCTCAGGTGGCTTTGCTTACCTCTTGTCTTCCCATCCAGGTTTTGGTTCTTCAAATTCCTGATTTTGATTGGAATCACAGTGGGCGCTTTCTATATTCCCAATGGATCGTTCACGTCAGGTAAAGACCCGTACATGTATAAACCCATCCATGCCTATCCGCAGGGTACATGCAACCTAGGCTGTGCCTTAATATAAGTCAGTGCTTACAGACTGCTCCTGCTGTTGGTCCTTGGAGTCTTGAACAATATCGGGACGTTCTCGGCGAGGTCCCTGGCCTCTCAAGCCCACTTCCCTTGGTGGTCTGCTGGAGCCCAGCTTTGGGTAGCTCAGGGCCTTGGTGCAACGCTGGTTCACGCAGGCCTTACACCTGGGTGGGGGTGAGTGCCCCGGGGTACCCATTGTAGGACATAAAAGAGCCAGTCATCTCAACTGATTGAGTGTTGTTTTGAATTGGATGTGAGCCCCCCAGGTAACCACACCATAGATACAGGGGTTCTCAGGACAAATTATTTGGTGGCCTCAGAGTGCGGCCACCAGCTCTTGCAGGTGGCCGCTCTCACACTTTTCCCTGAGATACTTAATTAGCTTTAGGAAAAACAAAACAAACAGGCACATATACACGTCCAAATGATTGTAATTTTTGTATTGCTAGCTAGTCAGTCTGTTGTGAAAAGTGATATTAACAAACACACAAGTATCACTTTTCGCAGTCGACTTACTCAGCCCCGGCAAGCCTGGGGACAAATTAGGCCCTGGATGGGGGTCAGGGGAGGCAGCGGGGGCCAGGGGCGATGGGGTGGGGGAGTGGGTAGCCAGGGGAGGCAGCTGGGGGACAGAGCCTGAAGCTGCGTGGCTGGAGCCTGGGGCCTGCCGCCATGGAGCTCCAGAGCCCAGGGCTGGAGCCCGAATCCCCACGACCGGAGCCTGCTGCCCCACCACACAGTGCAGGAACCCGAATCCCCTCGACCGGAGCCTGCTGCCCCACCA